ATTGTGATACTGAACGTGATAATAAGTGCACTCGCTAGTGGAAACGTGAGCGTTCAATAAACATATTCGCCAAACCCGAGACCTTCGTGAATTCATTTGCCGCGTTACATAGGCAACACGGAACACGCAACACGCAACAGTATATGTAAAGGCGAAGCTGTTCCAAGCTGCGAGGTTATATTGAAGGAGAGGAAATACACTTTTAAATTCTGGGATATAGCGGAAAATAGTCTCTTGGAAGTTGCCCGACATATTATACCCATTTTCATTGTAGTGCAGGTAGTATAAAGAACATCGTGACGTATAGAGACCTTCCTAGGCAAAGAAATCGAAACAAACAATTCGGCAAATATAGCTTGTACACGTTCCCGTGGAAACGAATACACACACAACAGTAGAGTTACTTTTAGAAAACGGTGTTTTATACTCGGTTCATGCAAAGTGATTATGAGAAAGACAATTGTGATGACCCTTCGGTTGGCGGTGGTCAAGCTTACTACCGTTCAAGTGACTAAGTTGTCGTTGTAGCATAAGGTATGTAAGTTAGACATGATCTGCTCTGTAAAGCCTGTACTGACAGAGGACTTGTGTGTAGTACAAAAGGAAGAATTTTCAGTAATATATTATACGTAGTATGCGTGAAATATACATTTGACGAAAGGCCAAATGTGTTCATAAGAGACAAACTCATCTTCTCGTCAGACAGGATGTTATATAAGGACTATTACAGCAAGAGTTCAGTTGAAAAAAATGGTGGTCGTGGGTCTCAAGGGTCCTGACGCCAAGACGAACTGATTGGCGGTAAACCGCCAGTCGTAAAATAACTTTGACTTTGACTTTTTGACCCTTCGAGGGCTTCATAGTCGTCAGTGGAGGGTTCAGTTCTGTACGGGAGGCTATGAAGAAAAGAGACAGCTGCAAGAATGCGGCTGTGAAGAGAAGACATGTGTGAAGACTGGAGTATGTAGTTCAGTGAGACTGTTATAGCTCCTGTGCTAAAATCCGTTGCCAGGAAAGAGCTAGTGGAGACTGGAATACAATGAGGCACACTCGGACGCACTAGAAGAGACCTTGTAGAAAGATTTCGTTTCACGTGTTAGCTAGAATATTCCTTAGCGTTCTATTCGTTGCCTAGGAATTGATATCTGTTGACTAGCAATGGACGCTGGTTGCCACGCACTGTCTTGATAATGCGTTACCTAGGAAGTGACATTTCTTTATGCAGTGGGTTCACCCGTCACAATATGGTTGCAAGTCCAACGGGACTCGGACCTGAGAATGACTGGGCTGGCGAGGGTCAGCGGCAATTGCAAACGATAGACCCGTCCTCTCGTCAGATAGAGCGTCCCACATCAACAAACCAGCAACTGCTGACAATAGAAATCTGGTCGCAACCCCCAGATGGGTGCTTTATTCCAAGAGGGACTGGCCGACTGACCGACGGTTGTAACGTCAGACACAACTCGACCCAGTTAGGGACACATAGATATGGACGAGTATCCCGTGTGGAGGCGGGCTCGAATACCTCCACCGTAGCCCTGCGACTCGTAGGAGTCGATGGAAAGGGAACTCAGTGCCTGGGGGTCTAACCGACCCTCCAGTTTGGGGGAGCCTCGAATCTGAGAGAGTGGAATCTGGTCATGAGTTCCGCTGGACTCGGTCCTGAGAATGACTGCGCTGGCGAGCACCAGCAATATAAGTACATGACAACCATCCTCTCGTCAGAGAGGGTATTACATAAGGATTATAACCGCAAGTGCTAAGTTGGAAAAAAACACTGATCGTGAGTCTCAAGGGGCTTGTCGCAGAGACGAACTGATTGAAGGTAAACAGCCAGCCGTAAAGTAACCCTGACTCTAACTCTGACTCTGATTCTGACTCTGATCCAGTTAATTGTTAGTTGTCAGTTAAGATTAAGTTTGGTACGGGAGGCTATGAACCTGAGTGCGTGAAGCTGAAGATTCTCCAATGTTAGACGCCGTTACCAGTGAACGGCTGACGAAGACATATCAGGCTGGAAAAAAAGTCTTTGCAGTTGATGTGGTGAATTCTAAAGTGTGGAGTTTAGCGGTAGCGCTGTAGTTACTTGTACGTAGTTCCGAGGCATGTATATGTAATAAGTAAATCCATTCACCATTCCATACCCCGTCTATAGTCACACACATAAATCGTGGCAGTACTGTCTTCTCGGATGTCATGGAATGTAGTGTTACTAGAATTTTGCCGATGTTTCGCAGTAGCATGGGATGTGATGGAGCGTTTCCTCTTAGATGTTCACAGACATTTCGGAGGAACATATTGTAGCGTGACGCCTAAAAGCCGGAATATCTGAAGGGACCCAAAGAAACAAGATCGTAAATGCCAAACAGTAATAAATATCTGGTCATGAGCCCCAGATTTGGCTCGACACCAAGACTTGCTGACTGACTGACCGTCAGTCGCAATGAGACTTGGATTTGGGACCGGGCGTCCATTGCTAAACAACGACTTGTTAAATTACGTGGCTGGGACAACAATGTGGAACAGACCATTGCTGAGCAACGCTCGGTAAACACTGACTAAAATCCGAAATATCTGAGTAGAGCGGGCGTCAATTGCTAGACAACGGCTTGTTAAAACACGTGGCGAGGACAAGATGGAAGAGACCATTGCTTAGCAACGGTCGGTAAACACAGCTTAGAAGCCGGAATAGTGAAGCCAGACAAGAAATTGTCCATTTTGCTAAGCAAACGTTCATGCACGTTTCCGAAGCAACGCATACATAAATAGACCGTCACCACGGAAGTGAAAACCAGAATTAGTGCGGTTCCCTCTCAAATGAACACGCTAGCTAGCGGTGCGTGGAACACGCGAAACGGAACCCTTGAACATAGTGTCTTCTAGAACGTCTGACTATCGGTTGTAACAGACCAGAACAGAAGCGAATAGCGAGGAGAACAGAACAGAGGCGAACGGAGAAGAGCTGAGAGCAGAAGAAACCAGCTCAGCTAAGAACTAGAAGGCTTCAGACTTGTCAGGTTTCACTGCGCGGAAGACGTTATTTCTGAGCTATTCTAATTGTAATTTATCCAATAAAAAGCTTCGTCTAATCCGGAACCCATTAATTTCTTGTCGCGTTAACTAGGAAACACGTGACAATATTATGCCCATTTCAGTGTAGAAGTGGAGGGAAAAGTGGAGGTTGCATGAAGAGTATTAACGTAACAGATTTTGTTTTACGGTGAGGAGTCGTACCCACGCTCAACCCACAATTTGGAATTTTACCCTTTGTTGGATGTCACGACTGGTAATTCAGTATATTCGAAGATATCCTGAATATCTGGAGGCCTACTCCTCTATCCGCTACCTGAGGGCTCGCAATGACGTCGTGACAAAAGATATTTTTAAAATAATATAATAAGCGTGAAACAGTTAAGCATGTTAGAAACCGTTTAAATAACACCTATATTAAAGTCCGTATAAGTTAAATTTGTCTTATATATTTTATGTTGTTTCATATAGATCCATTGCTAGGCAACAGCTCGATAAACACGTTCTCGCGGAGATAGATTCTTGGTAAACAGTCCTTTGCTATGTCATGCCTACAACGATATGCGGCAATAGTAGACATCCATTGCTAGGCAATGGACATATATTCCGTGAGGTTAGACCCGAGTCTATATAGCACTGATTGTCTCTGGCTCCAAGAAGAATAGATTGGTGTAATGTGGTCAGAAGCTAAGAGTGAAATATTGTAAAAAGTTGTTAAAGACCCAATAAATTTGATCATCAAACCCAAAAATCCTTTTTATAAGTCATGCAAACCCTTAATATGTGACAAAATTCAAAACAGCCTAAAACAAGGAGATGCTTTATGGTCGTTGTTTTTCAAATTTGCTTTAGGATATGTCATTAGTAAGACCAAAGAATTACAAATTGGACGGAAATTGAATGGGACAAGACAGCGTCTGGTCTATGCGGATGAGTAAATATATTGGGTGATAACATAAATACCATAAAGAAGACACATAAGCTGTAATTGATGCCAGTAAGGGGGTTGGTCTAGAAGTAAACTCAGAGAAAACTAAGTATATGTTGCTTGTCACAAGAATGCAAGGCAAATTTGTGACATAAAGGTAGTTAATAAATCATTTTAAAATGTGGTGAAGTTCAAATATTTGGGAACGACAATAACATATTAAAATATGAATCAAAAGGAAGTTAAGAGGAGATTAAATTCGGATAAGGCTTTGTACCATTCAGTCCAGAACTTCTTGTCCTCTCGTCTGCTGTCTGAAAATGTGGCTATTAGAATATACAGAACTACAAATTTGCCTGTGGTTTTGTATGGAGAAAAGAGTGCTGAGAAGAATATTTTGGCTGAAGAAAGATGAAGTGTAGGAGGTTAGAGAAAACTGCATAATGTACACTTGTAATGTAAACTTGTACACTTCCCCAAGTATAAATAGAACGATCAAGTCAAGGAGGATGAGGTGGGCAGGGCATGTAGCACGATGGGGGAGGCGAGGAATGCATATATGGTACTGGTGGGAAAGCCCAAGACTTACGTGGGTGGATAGTATTAGAATGGATCTTAGGGGGATAAGATGAGGCGTTATGGACTGGATTGATCTGGGTCAGGATATGAACTTGTGGGGAGCTCTTTCGAACACTGTAATGAACCTTCATATACCACAAAATACTGAGAAATCCTTGAATAGCTGAGAGACTAACAGCTTCTCGAGACGCTATTTAATCAATCATGTATTTTTAAATAAAGAGGTTTTATTCATACAAATTGATGTTTACATCTGTGAGGGTGTTTCTTCGTAAGTTACAAACGTATTAAAATCTACTTTAAACATAGAATGAGAAACAAAACTTTTCTGGCCACAGATCTCGCTGAACACAGAGAAATTTCTTCCGTAAGGTTGCCTACACTTGGTACGACGTGTCTTCAAGATGTCTGAAAAAACAAACGAACAGAGCTAGTAGCGTCATGTGACATGATCTGGCCTGCATAGGAAGTAGCGGGAAGTAGTGATAGCCAGGCAGGTTAGGGACGGCAGATCATGTACTGTAGTGTCTAGTTACAAGCAGGTATCGTATATGTTGAATCTGTTAATTAAGTGACGCCTACGATCTGCACTATTTTAGTGTCTGTTACCTGTGAGCCAAAGACGAGGCACAAGAGAAGACACATTGGAAATGCATGTCACAAGGTCAGTGTATATGAGCTACTGCTGGGGGTAGAATGGGGCAAGCCAATCACCTGTCCCCACCTTTTAGGAAGCAATAGATATTTAGGAAAAAAGGATACACGCCAAATATCTACAAATATATTTTTTTAAATTAATCTTCCGTCCTTAATACTGTAGGGGGATGAGTTAAAATAACCTCAGGTGGTTCAAACGTAAATTTTTTAACAAACTTTTTGGCAGCCCCTTATGTTTTACAGAAGGGGGCTGCCTGTCTCTTTTGAAGAATCGTGGTAATGCCTGTGTTATTGTTTTATCATTGGCACTACAGATTTGAGAAAATCTGCCCCAGCACCACTTTGTCCACCACAAATCCCACTTGACCAAACCCGGGATCGAACCCGGGCCGCCGCGATGGAAAGCCAGCGACTAACCGCTTGAGCTATAGCGCGGCCGATCTGGTAGTTAGTGTGTATGGATTTGACTCGTGAATCATCCTGTATTTTTTAACTAACAGAATAAAATATCTCGTAATTTTTAAAACATAAAGGTTATATTTGTAATTTGTCTTTGACTACCAGAAGCTTTAAAATTTTAGAGGAACCATTTACGACCTGAGGCCATATGGAACCATTGATTTCATGCTCTATATATTTACATGCGGAGGATTTCAGCGTTGAGGTCCTTGAAACATTCGGGACAATGAAGGGTGTGAAGGGAGAGAGGGGGTGGTTACCATGGTCTCCTGGTATTGACGCAACACGCAACGTTAGTTATGTTCACTGCTGTTCACTGTGATTGGGAACTTTCTGTAGCCTGGGCCATTCCTATTGGATCGAATATTCCTAATATAGCAACAGAATAATCTTATTGTCTCTCATGAAATTAATGACCTTTGACGTTGGCACATCAAGTGAGTTGAGGTCACACTAGACAAGAAATGTTTCACTGCAGAATCGTAAGTTCAGACTTCATCAATTACGAAAATGTCTATTATTTTAAAAAATCATTTTTAACAAGACACTTTAGAACATTACTTACAACCGCACACAAACGTCATTATAATCTATAAATTAAATATGAAGTTTTCCATTCTTAATTATTTTTTTTCTCTTGTGAGGAAAACTTTAACAGTGACTGAAAATGTTGCTTTTGTCTTTTTCGTATCTTCACACTTCTCCCCTGAAAAAAGACAACTATGCGTCCTTGGATAAGTACGTTCACTCTCTCTGTTCTACATCTCACCTCCCCACCGCGGCGGCCCGGGTTCGATCGCGGGTCTGGTCAAGTGGAATTTGTGGTGGACAAAGTGGCGCTGGGGCAGGTTTTCTTCGAGTACTTCGGTTTCCCCTGCCAATCTTCATTCCACCAACTGCTCCACTATCACTCTCACCTATTATCTGGGGCTGGTACAATAGGCCAGAAGTGGCCGCAGTACAAGGGACTTAGTCCCACCCCACTGACAATAAAAAGAAATAAATCTCGCCTCTTGCCATAAACAATGTGTCCCTTACGAGAGCTGGTTATTCTGTTTCTTCCCATTTAATGTGACCCTTTAGCCCTATATCTGCTCCTCTTTTAACCTGCCTATACACCCAAACCTATTCCTAACCCTGAAGATGGAGGCAGCTTGATCCCCGAAAACAACCGCATCCGCCACAAAACTACGCAAGTTCCCACAGCAATATACGTTTATCTTGTATATAATTTGTAGTGAAAGGAAGGTAGGTTCTTAATTCTTCCCAGAACTTCTTATACTATTTTATTTTCTTTTGGCGCTACAGCCCAAATTTGGGCTGTAGCTGTAGCTGTAGAAACTCCTGGTTTCTCTTCAGTTTACTAGATCTTAGACATTCGGTAGGACTCCTTGGGGGGGGGGTGATCAGCTCGTCGCAAGGCGGTAGAGACCTGTACACAAACACAGAAAACCCACATATATTCACAAACACCAAACATCCATGCCCAGAGTGGGATTCGAACCCACAATCCTGGCTTCCGAGGGAGCGAAGACAGTGCATGCCTCAGACCGCTCGGCTACCGTGACCGTCTCTTGTGGTATTAATTGATCAATTTTTGTTGATTTATAAATCTAATTAAATAGTTCACTAACTTACTATGGGAGTTGAGTTATAGCTCCAACAATTGTTGACCTCAGTATTAGATTCGGGTGAATGGTCAGCTTCATGCCCCAGCTGTTTTATCCCCGGAGAGATCACTCCGAGTAATCATTGGATAAGACACGACGGATCCAAGGACCAGTCGGGAATCTGTGGAAAAGAGAAAAATAATCACTCTGCCGGGAATCGAACAGTGTACGTCCAGCCCCTAGCCCGTCGCTATACCGACTGAACCATCTCCACTGCTTTACACAATTTCATTTAGATTCAAATCATCATCATCATTGCAAAACATCACTTTTTGAAACTTAGTGTTCCTTAGAATATTCTGTCAGACTTGTCTATTCCTGGCTATCGCTAATTAAAACTTCCCGTTTTTACTTCTTTTTATATTGCAACAATATTTTGTTACAGAACAAAGGCGTCATCCTTGCGTCCAACCCCCAACTTGCAGGGCTGGTCTCTGTATTTATGTCCCCCAGTGACAGGGAGCTTCATAATTTGTACTCTTTTCCAAGTATAATTAGATTGATCAAGTAAAGGAGGATGAGATGGGCAGGTCATGTAGCGCGAATGGGGAGAGTAATAACGCATTTGGTGGGAAATCCGGAACGAAGGAGATCACTGAGAAGACAAAGACGTAGTGGGTGAACATTATTAAAATGAATCTCAGAGAGATAAGATGGGATGGTATAGATTCGATTGATCTGGCTGAGGATACTGACCATTGGAGGGTTCTTGTGAACACGGTAATGAACCTTCGGGTTCCATAAAATGTTGGAAAGTTCTTGAGTAACTGCACAATTGGCAGTTTCTCAAGGAGAGCTCAGCTCCATGAGTGAGTGAGTGAGTGAGTGAGTGACAGAATGGTCCAGTGATGCCCCCAGGAACCGGGTTCTCTTTTCGTCGCCTTCTACGACTCTCAGGGCTACGGTGGAGGTTTCGTAATCAATCTCTAAAAGGGGAATACATTCTAAAATCGTTTAGTAATTACGCTTAAGAATGGAATGTAACTGTCACTTAAGATAAGTTTCATTTTTACATGTTACTCTTACATGCTGAGAATTACGCAAGACGGATATTGAAAGAGCTGAATGAGCGCCTTCCAGCAGCTGTAGAGAAGAGACGGTAACCTCGTTACTTCTCCTAAGAGACGCTGATAGAAATAAAGCTTGACTTGGAAGGGCGGATGAAAGAAACAGATCTAAGGCTGAGAGTTTAACGAAAAAGGAGGGCGTATAGATGACAAAAGAACAGTAAAACTGATCAAGGAATTTGAGATTTATTAATTTTTAATTAAACAAGGAATATGGATATTAGAACACATTTGCAACGACATTCCTTCCATGTATTGCTGGATTCTTTTACTGAGGTGAATTTAATTTTATTCCTGTATTTAATTAATTACCATGAAAATTTATGGGAGAATGGAGGAATTCTTCCAGGTATTCTTCACCTCGAAGTTATACGGAAGCCACGGGCTGAGAGCTCCTGTAAACATTGAATTAGGGTTTGTATGTGCCTCAGAATGGGGATGGAGTGTTTTAAAATAAAATAAATTTCTCACTCCTCTCTGGAATTGAATCCATATTCATCTCTCGTCCATACATAACTTTTATTGTTTAGTTATAGCGTAGTTGGTTGAGGCACTATGCTACAAGACAGAAGCTCCCGGTTTCTAGTCCCGATGAGGTCATTGAATTTTTCAATTGACTCAACCTCTGACATAAATGAGTACCAGGAATATGCTTGGGGGTAAAGCGCGGCCGGCGCGTATGGCAGATAACCTCACCTCCATCTGTGAGCCGCTTGTCTAGAGAAAATGTGGGAGCCTCGACGTCTCACAACGCTATGGGGCCTTCACGGCCTGTTATAGGGGCAGCTTTACCTTTACTGTTAATGACTCATGCAGTAGTTGGTATAGCAGAAACCGAAAGCACAACATAAGGCCAAAATTTACCATTAGGTGCAATCACAGCCTCAGAAATCAATATACCTCTTAATACTGAAGAGTGTCATCTTCTGGGATAAGATACAATGTAACAGTAGAATTTTACCAGCGTTTCGGAGCAAGATTCTCCTTCCATCTTGAGGATCTATGGTTAAGTGAGGCAGGCAAATAGCAAGTTCTTACTCTTTGTTGCTCGGCTGGTTTACTGTTAGACCCCAAATATGTGGGCGGTATATTCCTCTGAAATGTCTGTGAACTTCTACCGGACTACACGGCCTCACATCCCAGAAGTACTCTTAATAGTCACAGCTGTGAAAACCTGAAATTCTCTATTTATAAATTTATTTTTATTTCTCGAAATATTTATTACTACGAGGCTACTTAATATGTGTTAAGAGTGTACCATATCTCAGAAGCTAAGTCGCAGGATTCTCACCTCTGCTTCCCGGATTCGAACCCAGTACAACTGTGGGATTTGTAACGGATGAAGTGGCACTGGGGCAATACTTCAATAATCCTTTGCCAATTCTCATTCCACAAACTCCACATTCATGTTCCATTCTCTGCTGGAGCAAGAGGCCAAATGGTTGCCTTGGTAACAACTGGACTCAGCGTCACCCCACCACACCCCACGAATTAAAATAACTAAGATATGTCAAAGAAATTTCATAGCTTACAGCATTGCGGTCCATCTTTCGCTGTTTTAACTAACTTCATTGAGCTGGGCCCTTATTATGAAGCCGCCAGTCACACAACTACCCAAGAATTTCGTAACATTTTATGAAATCCGAAGGTTCATTACCATATTCAAAAGAGCCCTTCACTGGTCCCTATCCTGAGCCAGATCGATCCAGTCCATTTCACCCTATTCTTTTTCTCTTATGACCCATTTTAATATTATCCACCCATCTACGTCTAGTTCATCCCCAGTGGTATCTTTCCTTCTGGATTCATTCATCAGTAATCTGTCAGACGACAGGTCCACAATCTCTTCCAAAACAGTTCCTCCACTTAATGCGATCTTCTGTTTTTGGAAAGAGACTATCCAGGAAAAGTGATAATGTGGTAGTTTTTCCATTTGCTTTCCACATCGCAGTACAGCAGCCGTTCAAACCACTCTGGTCACGCCTGTTGCTATACGAACTTGAACCATCTCGAGCATCATTTGTTCTGTGCTTCAAGTCGCTGCTGATGACGCTGCTTCCGGCATCAGTTTTTGGTTTTTGGTGTCTCTCTTCGTCTGATGCCTACCCTTTGACCTGTCCAGCAAGGGAGGCCCTGCCAGTAGCTACGCTGCCGCTGGTATAGCTCTCAGGGTCCTTAGCATACTCAAACCCCCTCACCACGATAAGGCGGAGACACCAACGAGGGGGCCTTCTGGATATCCCACCAAAATATTATATACATTACAAATCTTCCCCATGCGTTCTACATTCCCTGTCCCTCTCACCCTCCTTGACGTGATTATTCTAATTATATTTGGCGGAGAAGGCGTGGTGTTTGCTACCCCCGTGTGTCTGAGTAACAATTTATTGTATGTTTAACAGTCAGCGTGTGGGAGGTGATAAAAGAGATTGATTAGTCGGCTGAAATGGGTTTCAGAGAAAAACGTAACCCCTCGTAAACGGGTTAACCCACGCGATTTCTGCCCACATGACTTGAAAAGCGTGCAGTAAGTTCAGAACCACACATGAATCATATTTTGCTTTCCACAATTGTGCGCCTACCCAGAATATCGCTGGAAATTATGTTGGACAGTAACATGTTGGGTCTTCATATAAACATAATAATATTCCAAAATTACTGGGTTTTTGGACTTTGTCCATCGTCCGGTGTTCTAGAAACTAGATAACACAGCGCTTCGGAAACTCGATATATTTCCGTCCTCACGTGAAAATAGGAAAGACACATACTTTGTTGGGTCCCATAGAAAGAGCTAACCTCAATCACTGGAGCTCCAGTGGTCCTAAGGGACCCAGCAGAGTAGGTGTTTTCCTTCCTTTCACCTGAAGACGGAAACAAATCCAGTTTCTAGAATATCGGACTATGGCCAAAGTCCCAAAACCCAGTAACTCTGAGTATTATATACACATCATCGTCAGAAACCTTAAAATATTAATATTTCTAATTTATTTAAAGACAACATCAGTATGTCCCTTTGTATAGCTTCAATGGTGAGAATATAGCGAAAAATGAATTAGAAGGGATGTGGAAGGAAGCGATCGTGGTCTTATTTGAGATACTATCCCAGAACTTACGTTGATGGGTTGAGGGAAACCGTGAAAAATGTCAGAGAGGCTACTGAATGTCTAGGTCGAGGTTTGAACCGAGCCCTTCTGAATATAATTCACATGCTTCACCGCTTTAACGAATTTCCGCAGAAAGAACTCACACACTCATGGAGCTGAGCCCTTCTTGAAAAGCCGCCAATTATGCAGCTACTCAAGAATTTCCCAGCATCTTATGGAACCCGAAGGTTCATTGCTGTATTCACAATACCCCTCCGCTGGCCCCTATCCTGCGCCAGATCAATCCAATCCATAACATCCCATCATATATTTCTAAGATCCATTTTAATGTTGTCCAACCACCTATGTGTTGTTCTTCCTAGTGGTCTCTTTCCTTTGGCTTTCCCACTAATATCCTATATGCATTCCTCATCTCCCCCATTCGTGCTACATTCCCTGCCCGCCTCATTCTCCTTGACTTGAGCATTCTAATTAATAATGTAATTAATTAATTAGTTGTTTATTGGAATTAACAATAATTTTACGTAAATTGATGATGTTGCTGTTGAGTTTCTACACTGTGTATATAGGAAGTAGATCACCATGGTTTCTAAAGCGCTTGGTACCTTCGAAACATCCGCTTGGTACAAGTAAATACAATCAACATAAAGAAGTATACATAGAGAAAGCCTAAAATCAGTAATTGCAACAAATAACCCGGGAAACCAATCAGATAATGAACTATTCATGTAGTGTATTTATGTTACTAGACGTCCGATGTATTATTATAAGTTTTTATCATCGTTTTGAACATAAAATTTCCGGAATTTTACCTAAGCTGCGAGGGTTGACGAGGCTACTTCTTTATTTTACATGCATGATGTCATTAGCCTTCTGAGAAAGTTTCATACAATACCCATCGCATTCTGCCTTGTGATTTTGCTTGCTGTACAAAGTTCGAGCACTTATTTGAGGGAGGATTGTATTTTTGAAGCTTCAAACCGAACCCTATATACTTGTTCCCATTTCTTTTTATCATATTGCAATTTATTCGTTCACCAAAGTTACAAACAACAAGACAAAGGCGTAAGTATTGAAGTAAAGGAAATATTCTGAATCAGAGAACACCTTGTAAACTAATAAATTACATTTTACAAGATGGCCGCTTTCATTTACGTCACCAAAGACTTTTTTAGATATAATATGTGTACTGGAAATTTTGAGTCTGGATTTAGTCAGTTCTCCCTTATCCTCTTTCTCCCATTTCTAGCTAGTTTTTATTTCTCTCATTTCCTCCCTTCTTCTGACAGAATCCGCTTCCACAACTATTCCGAAAAAAAAAGGAGCGCACACAATGTATCCTGTAATATACGCAACCCTCATTGCTCCGCCTACCTTCAACAAAATGCTTTAGTTTCAGATGTGTTTCCATTGGTTATTTTGTAGGAACATTAATCTCAGGCAGGTGGCCAATGGGAGAACGTTATACGAATGGACCAATGGGGTTGACGATGTTGCGGCGTCGGCGCCTATGGGTAATGGAACACATGAGAGAGGGGGTAAAATATTTTGGAAGGGAGTTCGGACGCCGGGCATCGCACGGGGGTTGATGAAACCAGCTTGGCCTCCTCTTGACGTACCCCGGAGTGGTACGGTCAGCCTTAAGTGCGTCTGCTAGAAACAGGTAAGTGATCTCGTGTAGATTTAAGGTTACCACAGCGGTGACTGTGAAGAGTACGATCGTCTGGTGACGCCGTATATTCTTGCAGAATTTTACCTAATCTTCAGGAAGTTCCAAGTCTGAAGAAATTACGCTTTAGTATCATAAAAATGTTTTGAATTGTGAAATTTCTCTTTAAGAAAGAACTGTGTGTTTTGGGTTTAAAGCTCTCGGAGGGATGACTACGAAAGAGTACGAGATTTTTGGGATGTCACGTCATGCACTCCGGTAGAAATTCACATAATATACAGGGCGTTTCAATTCTGAAGATGGTACTGCTTATTTTCCTCATATAAATGTTAGAATTATTGTTCGAATTGTGGAATTTAGGAAACAACTAGGCATTTTGGGTTTGAGGTTATCACTGTGATGACTATGAAAATCACACTTATATTTTACGTGATTCCGTAGAATTTCGTCTAAACTACAGGGTGTTTCAACTCCGAAGATCTTACTCTTTCAGAGATCTGCTTATTGTCGTCATATAACAATTAAAATTATTGTTAGAACTGTGGAATTTCTCTTTAGGAAACATCTGTTTATTTTGGGTTTGTGATTGTCACAGTGGTGACTATGAAGCTTACAATATTTTGGGATGTGATGTCATGTAATCTGATAGAAGTTTACCTAAACTGCAAGGCATTACATCTCAGAAGTTCGTACTCTTCAGGTAAGAGATCAGGTTACTGCCGTCATATAATATTAGCATTTCGGTTCATATCCTGTTCTTTTCTCTTTAAGAACACTTTTATATTTTCAGTTTGAGGTCCCAATGACAAAGAAAAATATTATCTTATTGGTTGTAGCTGCATGTAGACTTGTAGAAGTCCACACTGTAGTTCGAAGTAGAACTCTGTTTTTTTCCGGTTACCTGTTTAGCTTCATCTCCGCAACTGAATATTGTGCCAGTAAATCCCTCCTCACTGTCAGTAAATTTGTGCAAGATTACAAATTATTATAATCCCATAAGATAACGCGCGTTTCCTGTCCTTTTGTTGAAAAAATAATTATTGCGATGCCTACATTAGAAATTTTGGTAATTTTGAATTGAAAATGGATCAGGGATTCATCAAATTATTAATATTTGTGATGAGAGTCACTGGTAATCGTTTTCCATGATTGTAATAAGTATTTTGGCTAGTCATACAGCAAATACTCTCCAGATGTTGACTCACGCCAGGAACTTACTTTATTACTTGTATTTAGGAAGGAAATTAGTTAAATACATTTAATTTATGGATAATTTATTTTTTTTTCACTGGCTCTACAGTCCCCTTGAGCCCTGTTCTCTGTTTTTTCAGTTTCATGATATTTTACAGACGGTAGGACTCCTTGGACAAGTGATCACCTTATTGCAAGGTCTCTGCCTCAACACAGGACTACACAAACACAGAATAAACACATACACATACCAAATATCCATGCCTAGTGTGGGACTCGAACCCAGATCCCGGCTTCCGAGTGAGTGAAGTACATGCCTTAGACCGCTAACGTGACCGGCTTTATTTAACAATGCTGCCAGTAAACCTGAAAGAAATAGGATTAAAGTTGTACTGGATTCATCTGGCTTTCGATATAGATCAAGAGTGGGTTCCTGTTAACATGCTAATGAAACTTAATTTTCCATAAAATGCTCAGAATTCTTTGTATCGCTGAGCAATTCTCAGACTGTCAAGAAGGAATGTGCTCAAGGATTTAAAGGATAATTACGTTGGGATTAAGGATAATTGGTAGCGCAGTTGGCTGAGGCACTATGCTTCAATCCGGAAGGTCGCGGGTTCAAGTCCCAATGAGGTAATTGTTTTTTTTTTCAATTGACTTAATCCTTCCAGCCGCACCATGGCCCTGGGGTCGACTCAGCCTCTAACAGAAATGAGCACCAGGAATATTCTTGGGGGTAAAGGGCGGCCGGCGCATAGGGCTGACAACATTGCTGCTATCTATGAGCCGATTGTCCAGAAAATGTGGGAGTCTCGACGCCTCACATCCCTATGGGCCTCCACGGCCTGTTACAGGGATATCTTTACCTTTTTACTTTGGGATTAAGGATAATTACGTTGGGATTGAGATCCTCGCAACTCGAGCTCGAGAGTCCCTCCTGCAAGATACACGTAAAATTTGATTTTGAAGAATTTTACGAAGAGTTTTTTTTTTCTTTTTTATCGTTTCTTCAGATTGGACACGAAATGGGCCGCCTCTGTAGTCTAGTGGTCAGAGTTCCTGGCTACAGATCTAGAGAGCCGTGTTCGATTCCAGGCGCTACCATATTTTTTTTTTTAGAAGTAGCGAGTCTGGAACGGGGTTCACTCAGCCTCATGAGGATAATTGAGGAGCTATTTCAAGGAAATAGCCCCGGGCTAGAAAACCAAAATTAACGGCCTTGGGGATTCGTTGCGCTGACCACCTGACACCCTCTATCCGCTAAAATTGACACTAACTTCGCCGACAAGCGGCGGTCGCTCGGTCGGTATAATTCTCTTGCGGACTAAAAGCCACGGATTTTTTGGACACTTAATGTTCCTATACTATAGAACTGGCCTATTATGCTTCAGCGTTTTAATTATACATATCCAATTATTTACTATTAAATTACTAGTCACCAAAATTTATATCTTCATAAATTTTCTTCCTTACCCGCCTCAGTCACTTCACTTGTATTTAATTGTTTAGACTGATATCATCAGGAGCTTCATAACTTCTACTCTTCACCGAGTATAATTAGGATAGTCATGCCAAGGAGGATGAGGTGGGTAGGGCATGAAACACGCATGTGATAGAAGAGCAATGAATAAGGGATTGATAGGAAAACCAGTAGAAAGAGAGAACTAGGTAGAACTAGACGTAGCTGAAGATGGACTCAATTCCATGGAGTTGGTTAATTAGTTATTATTGTTATGATGTTTGATGTTTCGTGCTTGTGAAACTAGAATCGACATATTCTGCATGCTTATGCTACACTTTCTTTTCTAAAAGGTTTTGACGATGGTGTACAACATTCAAATTACTATATTTTTGGACTTTGTCCGTCGTCCGATATTCTAGAAACCAGAAATCGCTTTTCGGAAAGTGATTTTGTTTCTGCCCTCAGGTGAGTGGGAAAAACCTTCTCAGTTGAGTCCTCAGAAAGAGCTTACCTCAATCACTAGCTCTTTGTGAGGGACCCAACTGAGAGAGTATCTCCCACTCACCTGAGGGCAGAAACAGATCCAGTTTGCGAATGGTTTTTTTCTTTATTTTATAGAACAAAGTTAAAAAAACAGTAATTCTGAATTCATTTTTTGTAAACTGGATGTTTAAATGTAAGTGTGTTGTTTGGCAGATGGCGTGTCTTGACCATCCAGCACCCATGTCGGTGTGAAGACACAAAATGGCCGACCGTGCAGAACGTCTCAACTGAGATTGCCGTTGCTTAGCAGCAGCAGTCCGTGTACCCATTGCTGTAACTCAACCATCCGTCAGCATGCCGGGCTTCGGAGCTTTGGGCGCTATTCGCACCAAGGCGACCAGCGTCTTCTCTGGGTGAGTGGGCCCACATCTGTTTTTACCACGACCGAAAATGAGGGCAGCAGCTAGTAGGCGCCTTCTACTTCCGTTCCAGAGCCTTTATTTTGAGAATGCTATTTCCATTGCCTGAATACGTCATTAGTTACTTTCCCAAAACGTTTTATAAAAGGATGAATTCGCGATTTTACATTGTTATAATTTTCCTTTAATGTACGTTGGTCCTTCCCTTGAAATGTTCTGCTGATCCGGAGCTACTGCCAAGTCCTGAACTGGAGCGTCTTACCTAGTTCTGAACCGGAGCGTCTATATAGTTCTGAACTGGAGCGTCTATATAGTTCTGAACTGGAGCGTGTACCCAGTTCTGAACTGGAGCATCTTACCTAGTTCTGAACCAGAGCGTCTATATGGTTCTGAACTGGAGCGTCTTACCTAGTTCGGAACTGGAGCGTCTATATAGTTCTGAACTGGAGCGTCTATATAGTTCTGAACTGGAGCGTCTTACCTAGTTCTGAACCGGAGCGTCTACCTACCTCGGAACTGGAGCGTCTATATAGTTCTGAACTGGAGCGTCTTACCTAGTTCTGAACCGGAGCGTCTACCTACCTCGGAACTGGAGCGTCTATATAGTTCTGAACTGGAGCGTGTACCCAGTTCTGAACTGGAGCATCTTACCTAGTTCTGAACCAGAGCGTCTACCTAGTTCGGAACTGGAGCGTTTACCTAGCCCTGAAGTGGAACATCTTGCCTAGTTCTGAACTGGAGCGTCTGCCTAGTTCTGAACTGGAGCTGTTTACCCAGCTCTGAACTGGAGCGTCTATCAAGTTCTGAACTGGAGCACCTACCTAGTTCTGAATTGGAGTGTCTACCTAGTTGTGAACTGGATCGTCTATCTAGTTCTGAACTTGAGCGTCTGCCTAGGTCTGAACTGGAGCGTCTATCTACTTCGGAACTGGAGCGTCTATATAGTTCTGAACTGGAGCGTGTACCCAGTTCTGAACTGGGGCGTCTTACCTAGTTCTGAACTGGAGCGTCAATCAAGTTCTGAACTGGAGCGTCTACCTAGTTCTGAAATGTAGCGTCTATTTAGTTCTGAACTTGAGCGTCTACCTAGGTCTGAAATGGAGGGTCTATCTACTTCGGAACTGGAGCGTCTATCACGTTCTGAAGCGGAGCGCCTACCTAGATCTGAACTGGAGCGTCTACCTTTTTGAACTGGAGTGTCTATCTACTTCTGAACTGGAGCGTCTACCTCGTTCTGAACTCTGGGTCTCTGCCGAGTTGTGAGAAACCATTTTCACCCACAATTCTTTTTCTATATTGAATAACGAGGCACAGACATAGGGACGACAACTAACTGTTCATGGGGGGGGGAGATTCATCTTATTACAAATTTATGTTTAAGCTGTTTTGACAGCCCCAGCAAAATAAAGAGAGAATTTTAATTAAGAACTACTTTTTATTTTTGGTATTACAATTTGGTGCATCTCTTTCTTTATTCAGTTTTAATTTCGAAACATTTTCATTCAATACAGATTTACAATTTAATGAATGTGTGTGTGTGAGAGAGAGAGAACAGAAGTTTTTTGGAATACTGAGGGACTGAAGGACACTATATTGAGGGGGGGGGACATCATTTTTCAGAAGGTTTCCAGTCCTCGCCCTCTCGTCTTGTGATAAGACCAGAGCGAAAGCGGAGGCGTTAGAAAGATTAGAAACCGTGGCTTGAGACGGTGGCAGAGGAGTTTAAATTCCGGACTTCATGTTGAACTGCATAATTTTGGGGAAAAATGTGGTGGATATTGGAACACTCGTTCTTTTTCTAAATGAGATTCCAAAGGACGTATGGAGGAATGAATGTATAGATCCATATTTTCTTGACCTTGGCATTAGTTGGAGGTGAGTGATCAGATTCACGCTTCGGTCGCTTTACCACCGGGGAAAGGGCTCCCGGTACCCATTGGATAGGAGGTTGTGTGGGTCCCAGAATCGGTCTGGACGACGTGGGGAAGAGAAAATTCTTACATCTAGCGGGTCTCGAATTCCGACCCGTTGATAATCCAACCCGTATCCAGCCCCTATACTGACTGAGCTATTCGGGCTCTATTCAACCAACAAAAAACAAAAATGAAAACTCCGTAGCCTGTAGGCCTCAAGCGAACTATACCTACCGAGCGACCGCCGCGTATCGGGGAAGTTAGTGCCAACTTTTGTGGATAGAGAGTGTCGCGTGGTCAGCCCAACGAATCCCCACGGCCGTTAATCTCGGTTTTCTGGACCGGAGCCGCAATTTCCTTGAAATAGCTCCTCAATTATCATCACGAGGCTGAGTGGCCTCCGTTCCAGACCCACTATTTCTCAGAAAATCTGGCTGAGTCGGGAATTGAACCCGGGGTCTCAGGATCTGTAGCCAGGAACTCTGACCACTAGACCACAGAGGCGGTCAACCAACATAAGATCCTGAAATCTTAACAACATTTGTATATAATTTCGTTATAGACACGAACTGTTTCTGCAGTTGTGATTAAATTGTTGAGTGAATCTGTTGGCAGCCAGCAAGGCGTGCGCTGTACGGTCAGTGGAGGCCACTTAAGGAGACACGGCCCCTCCTCGTCCACGAGGTTTCCTCCTGTCGTCTCTCGCGTCTCCATGTTTGTTATGTCTTTATTTACGGTGCATTTGCAGGACGGCAAATTGCTCCTGAAGTACGGTAGGTCCCCTGACTCCAGTTCTGACCAGACATTGATTTATACAGGCTCTTTCACCAATAGACACTGGACTCCTATGTACAGACAAACTCAACATTTTTACACTTCTTCATAGTGTGTCTCATTTTCCTTACTGGTTATATTCTTTCCTTCAGTATTTAGTATAACGTAGAAGCGTAAATTTTTGAATGAGTGATGAAAGAGTTCGAAAGGAGGAATAAATATCCTAGTGTAGATATTATCCCGGCTGCGGGGGGCTGAAGAAACCACGGTGATCGTTAATCAGGTTAATTACTTCCCTGCTGAGAGTGGAAGACCGCATCTGTGGTCTAGTGGTCAGAGTTCCTGTCTACAGATCTAGAGGTCCGGGTTCGATTCCCGGCGGTACTAGATTTTCTGAGAAGTAGTGGGTCTGGAACGGGGTCCACTCAGCTTCGTAAGGATAACTGAGGAGATATTTCAAGGACGTAGTGGCTCTGGTCTAGAAAACCGAAATTAACGACAGTGGGGATTCGTTGCGCTGAACATTCCACACCCTCTATCCGCTAAATTTGGCACTAACTTCGCCCACAACCGGCGGGCCCTCGGTCACTTGCGGACTACAGACTGTGGAGTTTGTTTGTTTAGGGTCATGAACGTTTAACCTGCTCGTTATCAATCTTCTAATTTTCTTGCAGAGATCTCAGTATTGAATATATGGAATGAAACCTCCGTAGTTTCTTTAATGTTTCGCTTTACGGCAAATTTAATCGCGACGGACAGAAACTAATGTAAATGGAGGAAATCGAGCAAATTGACTCAAGCGGTAAGATTTATGTCTAGTACTCTAGAGATTCCTGGTTACAGCCTCGGCTGGGACGTTGAATATCAAGAATAAGGTTGTTAATGGGTTTATCTTAGTTCCTCCAGGCAAATTCTGGGATAATGAATTGAATTATACCACTACCATTTCCCCTGACTTTCCCTACATTTTGTTATTCAGTGCAGTCCTATAGCCTCATGCTATATAAAATTATATACTGAAAATTTTGGTAAATAAATTATTAAGAAATTAATTAATGTACATTTTCAACTATTCCTTAAATTTTCGACTCAAATTGTTCAGTATCTCAATAATGTTTGAGGTTTTCATTGCGGTGACAATTCTTATACAGGTCTTTTAGGTTATGACACCGTACGTCAGTAATAGACTGCATGTTATTATTAAAACGTATAAAATCAATGTAATAATTTTTCATAGTTTGTGATTCCTGCTTTATGAGTCTCGTGTATAAATGTATTTCTATGTATCGAAGGGGTTGTTATAACGTTAATAGTCTAGACTTTTATTTTGCTCGGTTCGAATCTAGCACCAGCCATTCTCACTGTGGGATTACGTGATTTTACACAGTTCCTTCAGAAAAATTCCAGGGTATAACTCGATTAAGCTGCAACCATTTCCTTCCAAATTCTTTGCAATTCATCATTCATCCTGCCTCTCGAGGCTGTGTAGTCCAGATATTGACGAAAAATTTTTAAAATGTGAAAAATGTCGAAAAAAAATGAAGAATGAACCATACAGTTGTACCTGTAAATTAAAATTTTCCCTCCGCCCCGAAAAACGGGTCCTAAATTGAAATATTGCTAAGTCAAATTCATTACAACATGGGTCGTATTGGGTTACTTTCATGGGGCTCAATTGATGAAATATTTATCAATATTTTACCCCCCCCCCCAATTGCTCAATAAAAATATTTTTTTAAAATGATTCTTCCAGCTCATTCAGGGCCCAGGCCTCTTATTCAGTTCCGTAATCGTTTTCACAGACGGTAGGACTCCTTGGACGGGGGATCAGCCCGTCGCAAGGTCGCTACCTACACACAGGACAGCACAACACAGAATAAACATATATACACCAAATATCCACGCTCTGAATGGGATTCGAAACCACGATCCCATCTTCCGAGCGAGCGAAGACAGGTCATGCTTTAGACGGCGCGACAACTGTGACCTGCGCAATAGCGATATAGTTTTATTATAGTATTAATGAAATGGCATCCAAGTAGAAATTAGGAGGGACACACAAACACAGACAAAGATGACGTCATAAACGTCCTGACAAAATTAGGGGGAATATACAGACAGCAGAGTGATTTCATAAGCCTCAAAAATTAATTACGTGGGATGTGCAGATAGTTGGACAGACACAAGCGGTTATACAGACTGCAAGGTGATTTCATAAGCCTCTAATTTTTTTAAAAGAAGGAAAAGTGCGTTAAAACTAAGCATGGTAATTAATATTCTACCACGGATCTTTGAGAGACAGGTTTC